AAACCTCTCCGAGTCCCAGGTACGGCCGCCCGGGGCACCTCGCACCCCTGCCTGGGTGTCTGTATTTGTGTTTTCCTTGCGGTATGCAGGTACTGGGGGTTACCGCGGTCTTTTCTCCCCCACGCAGGTGTTTAACGAGATTTACCCGGTGTGGACTTACTCCTACCTGGCACTGCTGTTCCCGGTGTTCCTGGCCACAGACTACCTGCGGTACAAGCCCGTGGTCCTGCTGCAGGGCCTGAGCCTCATCATTACCTGGTTCATGCTGCTGTACGCCCAGGGGCTGCGGGCCGTCCAGTTCCTCGAGTTCTTCTATGGGATGGGGACCGCCACCGACATTGCCTATTACTCCTACCTCTACAGTGTCGTCAATGTCGACCTGTACCAGAAGGTCACCAGCTACTGCCGGAGTGCCACCCTGGTGGGCTACACGGTGGGCTCGGTGTCCGGGCAGGTCCTCGTGTCGGTGGCGGGATGGTCCCTCTTCAGCTTGAACGTTATCTCCTTAACTAGCATATCCATTGCCTTTGGCACAGCGTGGTTCCTGCCGATGCCACAGAAAAGCCTTTTCTTTCACCACGTCTCAAGTCAGCAGCTGAGTTGGGAAATGAAAGTCATGGACTGTAAAAATGGATCAGCTGTCCAAGATCATCCTAATATGCAAAGGGCAGCTGGCTGGGAGGATGAGACCAAAGTTCCCCTAAATGGAGAGGGTCATTCGGCAGGGAAACAGGTGAGTGGTGCCCTGTGTTTACAGAAGTCGAAGATGCAATACTGATGTGGTCATCGTGCATGCATCTGTGCATATATGTATACAGCAGTAGAGATGTAATATTCAACAGCAAAAAGTATCCCTTCGCTTATCCTGCTTCCTTATTTATGGCACAGGAAAATTTATTCCTGCATTCCTTTTGCCGATTGAGCATGGTAGGCCGCTCCTTAGTTTTTTCTGAAGTTGTTCTGCACGTCTCGCAAGGCTGTGATTAAAATTCTCTGGGCATCAAATTGCTGTTCAATGGTACAAAGCAAGGGACATCTCTGGGGCACTAAAAATTGTGTATATGTCCAAATTCTGTGTGTGCTTCAGGATACACCCTGTGACTTGCAGAAAAGAGGCAATTCTTCCTGCATTCACATTTTGAAAACACTTGTTACTTCAACTGTTGTGCAAGTTGTGCAGTAACAAGCTGTGTAGTAATTGGGTTTTATCTTACGATCCTGTAAGGAAACTGCGGTAGTCCTTGAGAGCACTTACAGGCTGATATTGATTAGTTATAAATGGACAGAACACGGATAAATTGCAGGAAACGCCTTTGCATAATAACAGCTTAATGCAGCCCACGAGAGCCCCAAGGTAGTGCCCCAACTTGTGGCTTTTATGGGCTACGTAACCTCTAACAAAGTCGCTTGTATGGAAACATGCATGCAGGTGCCCTTGTTTGGTGGTGGGATGTATTGGATCCCACGAGGTGACGAACAAGCAGCCTCCTCCAGTTTTGAGGCCTGACGCGTGTGTGCAGTTGCCTGCTGTGCAGCTCTGCCACGCTGCTCCAGGTAATGCACGTGTACAGAGAGCCTGTCGCAGCATGGGGATTCAGGGCCCTGGGAGGAGGTCAGCCTCGCTCCTCGGTCACGAGGAGGTTGTGCTCATTCTGAGAACGCGCCAGAAGGTAAGCACGGCTGTTGGTTTAGTCAGCTAATGGGTATTTCACTTAGCAAGTGTAAGCCCCGGTTAGCTGGGTTGGGGGGAGGCAGCATCCGGGGCCGCTTTCAGCTTCTTCCAGCTACAGCTGGGAACTAAAGGTATTAACATTCCAGGGACCTAATCCTGCCCCATCCAGCAGAGTCGTGTGTGAGCAAAAGTATTTTTAACTATGTTATACTTGCATGCTGAAGGGTATTTAAGACAAATTCTGCGCCAATAACAAGGCATTAATATCGCTTATCTGTCCCTTTTGTTTCTCTTACTCCCATTCTGTGAGAGCAAGGGTGGTTCCAAACTAAAGGTGAATATTTTAAAAAAGGAGCAAGTACACTTACACAACTATCCAGAGTTCAGTTATACCAGCTGCCAAAAGCTGAGAAGCATTGGTGTGTGATGATAGTCCTTCTTACTAAGGTAACGGCAACCATATTTCATGAACATAAATGAATGGCTGTAGGAATAATTATACTGAAGAAGCGTCGCCAGGTGGTGGGAAGGTGGATGGGCCTTCCCAGCTTATCGGTCACATGCTTGGGCTGAATGTGCCAAATCAGTTTTTGCAGCATATGTGACAGTTCCCTTCCCCGGTTTTTCTGCACCTAAACTTGAGCTTCATGTGAAACCTTCTGTGTGGGGGTTATGTTGCCAAAGTCGCATTGCTGCAAGCTGACCTCTTCCCAAGTTGTTCTGTTGGGCTTTGGAGGAATGGTGTCCACACATGGAGTAAGCGTTTTGCCATTGGCAAAGCACCAGCGGGACTCTGTGTCGTTTAATAAAGATACTCAGAAATCAGTGACACTTCGAGGGGTGGAAAAAAGGGAGTTCAGGTCAGAGTTAGGCTGTGGTCTTTGGGCGTCTTAGTAGAAACACCTTAAAATGAGTTTTATTGCTCATGGAGAATAGTCTTTCCCAGGCACACATTGCATGATTCCGCCAGGGAAAGGGCATACTGCCAAGAGCCCCAGGTTGCTGCTGCTGACTGGAAACCACTCCAAAACTGGATGTGTGATGGCACAATGTGCTACAGCTCAGTCCTGTGACAGTGCTGTAAGTTTCCCTGCAGGGAACCCAAGTTCACGGGGGCTAGAGATGCTGGGTGGGCCTCGGGGGCTCTGCCCAGTTTCACGTGAAGTAACCGCGGCTCTGACTTACACGAGAAGGGTCTCGCCTGTCTACAAAGACTCTGTATGTGTGTGCATGCAGCCAACATAATCGGCAGCTCTGTCTACCCAGTAAAGCCATACTTGTTTCCTCTGCTGCTGTTGGCATAAAGTGGTTAGGAACAGGGCTGTAACAGCCTGTGTGTAAAAAGCAATTTTTGTCATCATCCCCTGTTGCTAGAACAGATAAATCTTCAAATTTTTTCAAACCACTTCATGGGCCTGCCCCCTTCCTTGCTCTTTCTAGAAAGATTTGGAGGGGAAAGCTTCATTTTTATCTCATGCTATTTATCTGAGCACTTGTATATACAGGAGCATATATTTGTGATAGCAGTGTCTGGTGGAAGTAGCTTTGGTTTCTCTTCAGATCCCCAGGCAACATCTCTCGCCTTCTCAGAGCCTTGGTGAACGTTAACGGGGTAGAGAACAGTGTAATGATACTGCTTCTTTCAATATTTATAACCCCTGAATGCTACTACTAAAGAATATCTACTTATTATGTGGGGAAATATCTGGTGGCTTTCATGTTCCCTGTGCTACCAAATTTGGTTGAATTTGGATCAGGACTTCAGTGACACTTTCACCTCTGTGATTTCAACGACTGGCTTCTGATCCTGTCTTGTCAAAGTGGATATCGTGTCCCGTTCTCCTGTGTCTCTTCTCTCTGGTACCTTTCAGTTGCTCACGTAGTACTTCTGACATCTAGCAGTTACTGCTCTCTGCTTGAGAGAGACAGAGATCGAGAGGGTGCCTGGGGCTGAACCCTTCCCTTGCACCTGAGGGGACGGCCCTGGGTAGGGCAGAGACCAGCTGCTGGGACTCTGGCACAGAGAAGCTTTTTATTCATTACTCTGCAGAGATTTGTGTCCAAGAGTGGCACTGTCACTCACCAGTGATCAGACCACTTGAAAAGGGCAATTTTGTGGAGCAGTATGGATATTTATAAAGAGACTAACACTTCTCTCCTCTCCCTTCACCAGTCTATGCAGGAGCAGAAAGTAGATGTTGTAAAGGTACTTAAAGATCTCTGGCGGGACTTCCTGGAGTGCTACTCCTCCCGGACCATGCTCTGCTGGTCTGTGTGGTGGGCGCTGTCCACCTGTGGCTACTTCCAGGTCATCAACTATGCTCAGGGCCTGTGGGAGATGGTGCTGCCTTCTCACAGCATGGAGATCTACAATGGTGCCGTGGAGGCAGCCTCGACGCTGCTAGGTAAGCTGCTGGTGTAGCTCCCGCTCTGCTGTGGGAAATGGCTTATGTCCCTCAAGGTCACCAGACCACGGTTTGGAAGTGTCTTGTGTTCCCCCATGCATGCAGGGGAGGCAACCTCAGCATTCGGGCTGAGACCTCAGTGACGTGCACAGGTACGGTACTCAGTGTTGAATTTGTTGCTGCATGCAGCCCTGATTCTTATAATCCAGTGCTTAGGTGTTGAAAGGAGCCTCCCAACTCAACCTTTGTTCTGAAATATTTGGCAGAAGCCTCAAGGCATGCAGCTGACTCTGTGTTCTTGGCTGCCACTGTGGCAGTGGGGTTATGCCTATTTTAACTGCTCAAAGTCAAGCTAAGGGTCCTGTGGGTTTATTGGTTTTTGTTTCTCTGGCAGTGTGGGGAACATATCAAGGTTTCCTGTACACACACAGCATGCAGTGAGCCACGTTTAGTCATTTCAGCACTGTTAAGCAGAAAAGCTATTAAGATGAAAGAAGTCGTTTGACTTGAAAGGGCCACATAGGTCAGTCAACACAAACATTTGTTTTGTTAAGTTAATACTGTTCCATTACCAGAACTAGGACAATACCTTTTTAATATAGCTAACATACCCTTGCAGAGGCTTTCTAGGTGTTACTGTAGTATGTTCCTTTTCTTTGATGGAGTCGTCATTCCACCGTCTGCAGTGGACATCACCTACTTAGGGGTAAAAGAAACCAAGGTACACAAACAAGGAAGGCTCAGTACTTTCTTGGGCATGCTCAGCCCCCTCTTGGAGTTTAATGGGAAGCCATGGCTGGTATATAGTTCTAAAAGCTGGTCTACCATCCATTGTTTGTTGGGTTTGAAACTGTTGGCAACTTGATTCCGAAGGCTTTGGCCATTAAATGGTCTTCAGTGTGCTAAACCTGCACTTTAATAGCATGCAGTCATACACTGTCCCTCTACCCTAGCACAATGCTGTGGTTCTTATTTCTTGTTTGATTTGGCTTCCTCTACTATCCTGCCTTGGTCCCAGGAAGGAGAAGAATCGGTATCAAGGGAAAGAAGACCCATAGCATGGCAAAAGGTGGGCAGATTTTAAAAAAAAAAAAAAAAAAAAAAAGGGAAAAAAAAAGGGGTAGTTTCTACAAGAAAGTCCTGTTCTACCACAACTTTTTATGAACAGCTTTTGATTCGAGGGTTTTTTTTTTTTTTTTTTTTTTTTTTTGAAGGCCTGTGAACAATGGAACTATTGGAAGAAAAGGTGGTTGGCACTAAATCCAAACTGAAGTTTTTAGTTTCCCATTTTGATTTTTTTCCTCTAGTATTATTTTTATAAATGGTTGAATGACTTTGGGTGATGTTTTCTGAAAGCAAATTAGCTTCTGTCCCTGAACAAAAACTCTTTCTGGCTGACACAGATTTGTTGCTTGTTCAAGTGATGTTTAGTGAAGTAGTAATCTCATCTAAAAGCTTGAAGTGTATAACAAGACTGGAAGGGACCTGTTAAGAGTGAGCATCCAGTGACCTGACTTCCTAGGCACTAGCGCAAATGCTCTAACTTCTGATTTCCAGTTTGAATTTATTAATGAGCAGTTTATCTCTGACTTCATGTCAAGGCTGTATTTTAGCACAAAATTGTCTCATTCTGGCCTATCTGTAGATACCTGTTCTTTGCTCTGGGCCAAAGAAGCCAAGCTTTTCTAGTTGTTCTTTGGTAAAGTTAAGCTCCTTGTTCACTTTGTCATCTTACTAGCCTCTCTTTGTACCAAACCTGGTTTGAGCTGCAATCTTTTTGAAGACGGATGACCAGAGCTGCACTCAGCTTTATTCAGTGAGGCCTCAGACTTGTAGAAGGACACTAATACTCTTTGCTTTTCTCCCTTTACTAGAAATACCTTTCCTGGTGCATCCCAGATCTGATTTGCTGTTTTCATGGCTCTTAGTCATTCTGTGCTCAGTTATGAGCAATGTTTGGCAGCTTTCATGAAAGATGCCATCCCTGCCTGTACCTGTGCTGCCCTGTAGAAGGGTTTGAGTAGAGCGTGGTGACTGATGTGGCTGTCAGCTTCCTGTCCCAGGCAAGATAAATAGTATTCCTTCTAGTGAGGTCAAATGACTGTTAAGCTGCATCCCGGCACCTTCTTTGGAATGTGGCAATCCTTTATCAGGTTGGGGTGTGAAACCACGGAGTCAGCTGTAGGTGTCTAATTGTAGGACACAGGTTGTGTATCTTGTCATAATTAGGTGTCAGGCTGCTATAACCTTGAGACATAGGGGGAATACAACTTTGTGAGTTGCCATGAGATCCCCAGAGAGCGATGTCTGTTCCCAAATTTCAGAATTGCTGAGACAGTAGGAAGAAGGCTCTAGGACTTAGCTTGTTTTTGCGTCTCAGGGTTTTGCTACTGGGGGAGCCAGATTTCCAAAGAGCAAAATGTCAGGTAGTGTCACAGCAGGCACTGGGGACAAGAGTGTAGCGGGGGGAAATAAATTTCTTCCCCTTGGCATAGATACCTTCTTCCCTAGTCTGCAAGATTGACAAGAGGTCTGGACAGGGTTGCAGGCTTGTACACACTGATGGTACATAAGGAGTCTTCATGTGCTTGAAGGATTTCTAAGATAGCAGGCCAGCTGAGGGCTACAAAGAGCTTAGATGCTGCACTGTAGCACTTCTGTACAGTGGTCAAATGCTGAATACAGTCCTGTTTTTCAGAGATCTCCAGTAAACCTCCCTTTGTCAGTATGCTGTTTGTCTAGTTTGCTGTGTACAGCAGCATCGTTATGCTGTTGGTTGGTGTTTGACTTGTTTGCAGAACAAGGCCTACTTCAAATGGGAATTTTCTTGTAACGTAATATGCATTTGGGCTTCTCAGTAGTTAGAACTGTGATAGTGCATGAAACACACCTTGTCGGCTTGTTGACTTGCATGAAATATCCTATGCTTTCCATCATCAACAACACATGACAGTAGCTTGTGATTAGGTTGCATCCTGGGAGATGTGGATTTGGACCCCTGCCCTTACTTAACAGCCCGGCGTGAAGATGACAGTAAATGTAGTTTTTCCTGCCTCCTGGGAGAGAGTTCTAACAGCTGTGTATCAAAATGGGTAGTGTCTTCCTCCATCCTAACCCCCCAAAGCACCACAAAATAATTAGCTGAGTGCTTTTGAGAACGAGGGTTTGCGTTTCTCTGTAGCCCAACTGACAACACTGCTATGGTCAGGCACAGAGGACGGAGTGGCAGTGGTCTGAGTCCTGGGGCTGTTCTGCTTCTGAAGCCAGGGAGGAGGCTTCAGAGGCAGTCAGAACTGACCTTTTTTTTTTTATTCCCCACCCTGCTGTTCCTGTAAAAGTGAATGGGAGTTGTGCATGTTAGTCTCCTCCACTTCAATCATGTTTGGCTATTAGAGGCTGTATAGCTTCTAATACACAGTCTCCAAATTGCTCCGATTGTAATAACTAACAGTTATGCTTTCCTTCCCCTCGCAGGAGCTGTTGCAGTGTTTGTTGTGGGTCACATAAGAACATCCTGGGCAATGTGGGGTGAGGTGGCACTTGCCCTGTTCTCCTTTCTTATTGCTGCTGCTGTATATATCATGGATACTGTTCGTAACATCTGGGTGTGCTATGCATCATATGTGGTCTTCAGAATTATCTACATGCTGCTAATCACAATAGCATCGTGAGTATCTTTTTAATGTAAATTGCTCTTAAGGTTACAGCTGGTGTGAAAGCTGGCATATTTTCTATGTAACTAGGGTCTTGCCTACCAGGAATCTGGAAATCTGTTGCAAGGGTTTGTGTTGTGATTCAGGTTGGCAAGTGAGGCACAGAGATACATTTGGCTGGCAGCCTGCCCAGGCTCAAAAGTCTTATGACACTGAAGTGACTATTTCTAAATACTAGATAGCGCTGCGCGCCAGGGGAATGTTTTTCATAAACATGACTGGAGTGAAGCGTCAGCAGATGAGGAGAGGACAATGCTTTGCCTGCGTTGAAGTGTCAGCTTTCCCTAACCTGTAAGGAGGAAAAACATTTTAGGTTTTTTTTGTCACTTTGGGGAGGAAACCACAATTGTTGTTGAACCACACATACATAACTGCTCTAATACAGCTCAAACACAATATGAGGGGAGATGCTGAAACTGGTTAACTGCAAAAGGAGTAGTTCCAGTCAGAAGGATGTGGGAGGTTATGGACCTTCTACCTGCAGCAGGCTGATGCTTTGAGGTTGCCAGCAGCTCTCTGGGATCAGAGTGCGCTGTATGTTCTCTGCGTGACAAGGCCCTTCAGCTGCATTGGACAGGAGCACTGCTTCAGTAAGACTGAAACCCACAGAGCTCCCAAAGGTTTTTTTAGCCTATTAGATGTCTCTGTGGGTCTCTTCTAGCCTCTATGCTAGTCTGTCGTGATCCTATTTAGAGAAGTACACTGTCAGTGTGAGGTAATTTAGCTGTGGAAAGTACTGGACCAGTCTATGTAACTCTTCAGGTTGCATAGTGTTGTTGTCCGGAGATGTTCCTCCTATTCCTGCATTTCCCCGCTTTTTCCCTGTCCTTATGTTTCTGGACATCCCTTTCTTTCCAGGTTCCAGATCGCTACGAATCTCAGTGTGGAGCGATACGCCCTGGTGTTTGGGGTCAATACTTTCATTGCCTTAGCACTTCAGACACTGCTCACTTTGATTGTTGTGGATGCCAGCGGGCTTGGGTTGGACATCTTCACCCAGGTATGATAGGCGCTCTCAGTTTTACTGATGGGAGGGAGGAAGGTAAACCAGGCTGTAAAGCTTCTCAGCCACCTGTTTCTGAGTGAAAGGTTTGCTGAAAAAGAAATAATCACCGATTCCTGATATTTTAGAAGAGGAAGGGAGCTCATGTATTAACCTTCTTACCAATTTGGTAACTGCTTGGTTTAACCACTTCTCTCTCTCTTTTTTTTATTTTTTCTCCTCCCTCCCCCCCTTCCCCTTCTCTGCAGTTCATGATTTATGCCTCTTACTTCGCGGCCATCTCTCTGGTGTTCTTGGGCAGTGGCATATACAGTATTGTGAGAGCTTACAGAAGACCAGAGCAGATGCAAAGCAGATCTCCTGAAAGCCAGTAGTGCACCAAGTGAAGACTGTTGGTGGCTATATATGAAGACATAGGTCTGGTTTTTTTTAATCTCTGCCTTTTCTTCCCAAGGCAGTTACCTTAATGGTATTTGATCCATATTTATACTATATTAGTAGCACATTTTAGAAGGTAAATGTATTAGCTCTTACGTAAGTGAGAACAAATATCTTCTTTCTAAAATGCCTTTTGTTCTTCTGTTGCATATATGGGATGTGTAGCAAAGAACATAAGTTTTCTTAAAGAATGAAAGCCTTGGGAGATTTTAGTTTAAGGCTGTGCATCTGGAGGCTGCCATTGAAAAGGCAGCTTCACGATTGTCTAGTCAACTGCTACTCTCTGCCATTGAGGTGCTGCTGCAGGGCAGAAGTCAGGGCATGCTAATAGACCTCTCTGTAGAGAGCCCCAGGCCTCGGACAGGAGGTGGCCTTAGGCCTGTGCTCTGCAGCGCAGCTGTCCTGTGCCTGCCCTGTGATGCTGCATGCTTTCTTTTGTACACTTACGTTTCTGCGTATGCACATGCTTCCTTGAGTTGCTTGTACTGTTTCTGCTGCTCCTGCCTGTCATCCCTGCTGCCAGAGTTTTACCATAGCTGATCATGGTGCTTTCCCAAAAACTTAACTGTGTCCTGGGGCAACTTGTGACACTGGTGAATTGGCTATCAGCAGTGCTGCTTGTGCCATGAAGGCCTGTGCCCAAGGGACTGTAAAGCTAGAGGGGAAGCTTAGAGGGAGTTAAAGTAGACAAAATGCTAATCTGAGGGACCCTGGGACGTCCCTGCCTTTGCCCTTTAGGAGTGCAGATTCCTGTGATTACCAGAGTCGCTGCCTCCCAACCCTGGGGGCTGGGCTGTTTCAGTGGGATGGTGGATGTTAGTATAGCACTGAGAAGGAGGGTGACTTGCAGGATTTTAAGCTAATCTTTGTGACCTTGGAGAATGATGACTCTGGTGACTAAATAGACACCTTCAGTTATGGTAGTTAGCAGGATGACTGCCTGAGGCTCTGAAAAATGCTGATTTCTGGTCTGTCAGTTTGTCCCGTTGTTTTAAAACACCTTTATGTTTCTGGTAGGTCTCTGTCCACTACTTCCACCTCTTCTTTCCACCGAAGCAGGACAATGAATGTTTGGAGTGGGCAGTTCTTTTATTTTCTTGTGTCCTGTCTAAGCAATTTGGGATTTGCCTCATACTTGTTTTTAAAAATATTTTTTTCCAAACTGCTTCAGCACTGGAAAGGAGTTGCACAGAGTTGTCCTGGGCTTGGGCACCTGGATACTTGGGCACCATGACCGGTGCAGCAACAGATATCTGTAGTATACTATGGAGATGGCCTATGGACTGTCCCTGTTGCTGTGCAGGTTGTGGTGAGTTTAAGTCTACAGGAGAACAGGCAAGGGAGAAGATGCAATGCAGCGTGCTTCCCTCCATGCCTTCTCTCTGTGTGCTGGTTAGAGCTTCTTCCAGTCAGAGCCTGAAGCAGCGGCTTTGGTTCGTTGCTTGCTTTTAGTGCCATGGAGACTTCACAGCATCAGGGTTGGGAAGGCTTCTCTCCCCTGGCTGGGGCAGGTAGGGCCTTTCTCATCGCTTCTGTGAACCTCAGCCTTTACCATGCAAGGTGAATGATTACTGTGTTTGGGCTGTGCTGCTTGGGGTCTGGGGACTCCCTTCCAGGCTGGCTGCTCAGGGGAACCCACTCCCTAAAGCTTCTCTGTGTTTGCAGCCTGCCTCCTGAAATATCCCCCTAAATGTAGGGGCTCATCTCGACTGGCATTTACACACGTAAACTTAGCTGCCTTATCCTGAAATGGAAACTTGAAGCCACCCATCTATATATTCCTTTCTTTACTGTTTTTTGGTTTTAAAAAAATGAAATCTGAAGCCGCAAAATGCTAGCTGACGAGCTGTCCTGGGAAAGGGACAGGAAGCGCACATCCCGCATATCCTGCCCTTTGGGTTCCTTGGTCTGATGGCAGTTGCGGCAAGGCACGAAGAGTGGGTGTACAGCGCTCATGTCAAGTGACCGAAAGAAGCAGCTCTATTTTAATCACATTTTTCATACAGAGAACAAATCTTTGGGGAACAACCCAGTTATTTAAAAGCAAGTAAAAAATTAACTAATGAATTACAGCAATAACAATGATTTTTCTAGCAAAGTAATGAAACTGGAGCAACTGCAATAGAGAGGGTTGCTACACTGGGTGTGTCTTCAGGCCTATTAATATATGGAAGCCACACCTGGATTTTGTTCAGGTTCCTGTGCTGGGCTGTTGCTGTGGTAATGAGGTGACCGTAGAGCCTGACTGGAGCTGTATGCAGAGTTACTGATGCCTATGAAATTCTGTAAACATATTGATGTGGTTGGTTTCTAATTGAATAGCTATTTTTGTTAAATAAAAATACTCCAAGATACCCTACGTGACCAGTGTTTGTTCTGTTTTGATACCTTGCTAATCCACAGCACTGCTGCTGCAGCCAACTAATGCAGGTTGTTCTGAGCACCTCTGTAACAAAGAGGGGAAAAAATAATGACAAACCATGCAAAAAGAACCAAGTCATAAAGAGGATAGCTCTTGACTGTTTTTTGTAGGTTTGCAGAACTCTGTGCCAAGTGTCTTGGGTCTTGCACTGAGGAATCGTAATGGCTGAGCAGTTCAGAAATACCACTATAGTTCCGGTGCAGACTGGTGCAGTGGGGGAGAAAATTACTCACTGGTGCAGGGTAACCCTCGTCAGGAAGCATCAGCCTCACTGAGGGTGACTGTAAGGGAAAGCAGGCGCAGGTTTGCCATGCAGGAGGACCTTTCTGTTTACATCAACTTAATTACAAGACTGAGGCCTTAAGAAATGCTGTAAATTCCCCATCCTGGCACACCCACACTTGACTGCCTTGGAAAGCTCTCCCTGTTTTGTGCTTCTGGAAGAGACAGCTTGTACCTGATAGTACAGGCTGGGCTGGAGGGGAAAGTGCTCTCTGAATATCTGCTGCCAGTTTGATGCAGTTTGGTTTGGGGAGTAGCCCAACAAGCTCCCTGCATTAACACCAAAAACAAGAGAAAATGGGTGGTCTGGGGGGAAAGGGAGGTCTAGGAAAAACTACTGTTCTTACAAGTGTTGCCTTGAGAGCTTTATTGCTGAGGCAGGAGTGATAGGACTGCCAGCATGTCGGGCTTGCTCTGAATTTCATTCATCTGCCTTGTCTGGGTGAATACGGGAGTCAGCTGTGCAGGGGTTTAAAATCTCTGCTTGCACAGGGCAGGAAGGTAACTAGTAGCTCATACAGGTATAGCATTACCCTTTAAGGTGGATTCAAGCATTTCACATCTCTGGTGCTGGTGAAAGGTGCTGTGACAAGAATCCTGAGGCTGCTGTCGCCTGCGAGCAAAGCGGGTCCACGTGAACAGTGGCAATCCTCCTTGCTCCTCCCATTGCATCCCACCGCTGTGTACAGCTGAAAGCGCTGAAAAGGGACACCCAGCTACGGTCAAAGAGCTGAATTCCTGTGTTTGCGAAGCAGCACGCAGCACGGTTTGATGGAGATGAGGTAAATACTACGCACGGCTGGGGTGTCGCCCTGGGACGCTGTGGCTGTTTCTTTGTTCCTGTCGATGCCGGGGGCTGCTGGAGGTGAGTGTTACCACCAAATCTGTGTATCCCACACCAGGCTTGCTATGATGCTGGTAAGATGTGGCACAGTTCCTAGGCTTTAGGATCGCCGTTAGGGGGAGAGGCTAAGTGCTGGGTTTGTTCTGTCCAAAATGTGAGGAATAGCAAGAGCTGCCAGAGGCTGCTCTTTGAGGAGCAGCACCCACTGCTGTCCCCCTGGGCTAGCACTGGCTGTGACAGCCCACCAAGGCATGGCAGGGTTACTCTCAACCACGCTCTGGCTGCGTGCGTGTGTGAAACAGCTGGCTGCTGTGGCAGTGCTTTTGGGGAAAGGGAAGGGCTCTGCGTAGAAGTCATTATGTTTTCTTCTCTACCAGTGTGATCGTAGCCAAGTACTGGGAAGGAAAGGGACTTTGGTTATGGAAGGGGCAGGAGACTGGGAGCTCTGGGCCCTGTTCCCAGCAACTCTTGACAGTGTCAGCTGTTTCCTACACAACGTACAAAAGGTGTTAAGGTGCTTGTTTAACATTGCTCTGGAGGTGTTACGCAGCCTTTCTCTTGTCAAACATACTCGCTCTGCGTAAATCAGTGTTCCCTAAACACAGTGTTTGATGCATTAGTGACATAGAAAAGAGCAACCAACGTGTCGGGGCCTGTCCTTGGAGCACTGCGTTGCTTGGCCTGTCCTTGGAGCCCTGCGCTGCTTGGCTAGTGTTTCAGTTGCATTTTTGTGTGACTGTGTTCTGTAGCTCCCTCACAGATGGGAACATCTGAAAACCTAAATTTGATGACATATGGGTTAATGAATGCATGCATGAATTTAGATTGACCTTAAGATATCATTACATTATCATTATCAAGCATCACAGCTCGATCTTCCAGCAAGGGGGTCTAATCCTTCTCTTACAATCACAGGGATCTGTAATTAGTCCAATAAAGCATCTTTTGTGAATGAAAGGGGTAGCACTGGCTTGTAAGATGAAGGATAGTCTTACGATAAAAGCAGAGCATAAAGCTTTGATACTGTGCCAGGTTTCTCTTTGTTTTAGTCTGCTGTGAACTTGTCGAAGCCACATGTCTGTGAAATGTGGAAAATCAGACATTCAGCATATTGTCTTCAAGCGCAGGATAACTGCATGACCCTGGGTGAGGTCACTGGCTGAAGTTTTTCCAGGCACAGCAGGAACGTTTGCCAAGCAGGTGCCTGAGTGTTATCTCAGGTAAACATCAGGGAGCCCTTCCAACCTGCCAAAACCAACATCAAACCGCGTTTGTCTTTCTGGCTGTATGGCATGGAAAAGGTAGTCAAGCATTGGAACAGGCTGCCCGGAGAGGTGGTGGAGTCACCATCTGTGGAAGTGTTCAAAAAACGGGTAGACGTGGCACGCTGGGACATGGTTTAGTGGGCATGGTGGTGTTGGGTTGATGATTGGATTGATGATCTTAGAGGTTCTTTCCAATCTTAATGATCCCTAGTTTTTACTTTCATTAAAAATAATGCAGCCACCAAGCCAGGAAACATGAAATTGCTACTCTACTCTTAATTGGTTTAGTGGTGGACTTGGTAATGTTAGGTTAATGGTTGGACTGGGTGATCTTAAAGGTCTTTTCCAACCCAAACGATTCTATGATTCTATGGGATTAGCAGAAACCCCGAGGTCGTGGAGTCCAACCTCCTCCTGTGATGTGTGGCCTGCAATGACAGCTGTCTTCAGAGACCTCCTGAACCCCACCTTGAAGGGGTTTAGCTTTCTGCCCCGCATTACTTGGAGTGAAAGGGTAACTCTACCTGCATTACTCTGAGAGTTACCAACGCTCTGGCTAAATTTACTCATGGCTGTTCTCTGCCTGTATTTCATTTCATTAACATTAAGCCTTGAGTGTGGGGGGGCATGCTGCCCTCAGAGGTGTGTGGCCTTCTGGTGCATTTGCAGACTGTCATCCTTCATTTTGCTGGGCCAGCGTATTCCAAACAGGGGGCCATGGCTGTGTGGGGGACGGTGCGATGGGCGCTGCGTCAGTGCTGCCGGCGAGGACGACTCCCTCCCTCCACCCCTGTGGGGCCATGCTGCCATGGCCCAGGCCCACATGCCGGCGGGAGGGCTGAGGAGGGTCATCCCCCAAAATATGGTGCTGGGAAGCACCAGGCGATGCTGTCCCTGCTCATGCAAGGGGGGTTGGGCTGGATGACCTCTCAAGGTCCCTTCCAACCCAAAGCATTCTACGATTCGATGATGCTGCATGAGCCTTGGTCACCCCGGCGGCCACACCCTCCACCTTTCCAGCATTGCCGGAGGTAAGTTAATGGGATCCGTTGTATTTCATGGCATAAAGACCAGGGACGAAATCCCAAACCCTGAGGAAGGACCACTTGCTTCAAACTACACATCCTGGCTCCGCTTCCTCCAGCCCTGCCTGGCCGGGGGAGCAGCGGAGGGCTGCCGGCGGCGTGGCGTGCTTGCCCGTGCCATTCGGTGGCTTTTTTCCAGAAGGGGATTTATTTAGAGTGGGTTTTAGTGCCTTTTTTTCCTCCTCTTTTCAAAGTTGTGGGAGCGTGCTGTGTGATTAACGCAGAAGAGCACCTCTTTGGAGACGCGGCCCTGTATTAGCGAAAGCTCAAATTTTGACGCCGCTACCTTTTCGGTCTGATCAAATTACTCATCCCCAGCCCGAGCATGAATAATACAATACAAAACCTGCCGACGCTCAGGCTGCTCCCAAACAAGTGCATAATTTAAGAGCGTCCAAAGGCTTTCAGCTGGGCAGGGAAAGCCCCCTTGCCGCGCTGCTGCCCCTCTCCCGGGCGCTCACGGCTGCGGGCCCCCCGCTACGGTGTTCTTCGCTTTTGTTTCCCAGCGTTAAATGACATTTTGTAACGCAAAGGGAGAAAGAAAGCGCCATCTCCTAAGGGGCCCTCAGACCTGAAAATGGGGGACAAAGCCCGG